CATGTTAGGTCCCTGCGTTGGTACTCTTATTGCTCACCATGATTATGTGAGACCATGCAATGTAAGACAGTGTATTTAAGTAAAACAATGCAAAAATGACAGTAACATATCCATTTACCGTAAGTCCTGTTGTTGAGCCAATATAACAGCCTACAGCACATCCAGGATAATTCTAAAGTAGAAGAATACATAAGTCCACAAAGCTGGATTGCTTCCTGTACATAAACTTGCTCAGAGCTTGATTGCATATTTCTACAGCAACTTCCATTGTTGGCCCACCTTAAACAAGGTTTCATCACTGTACATCAGCTGATCTTCAGCGATGTTTAGTGTGAGTTCTTCTTGGCAGTAAATAATTCAAACTCTTCTAAACCTCTTTCATTGAGAAGAGAATTACTTCAGGGTAATGCAAGTAGAAATGAGAAGTCCACATTAAACACTTTCACCAGGCACTGGAACACTTTCAAAGCTGAGTAATTATGATTCCCCGTGGTTTCATAGGTTAAGAGAAACTAAAGAACAACTTTGAAGTTGCTTGTTGGTGTCAGTGTTAAGTGTTTTATATACTTACCATATTGAGTTCCTAAAATAAACTTGCTTTTTTTTTTTTTTTTAGCACTGAGAAGTTGCATAGGGAATAGCGGCTATCCAGCCAAGGATCCTGTCTTCTGCAGTGCATAACAGCCAATGTTTATAGGCAATATAAGAACAAAATACAAAGTGGTTCTGTTCCCTTCATACTGTCGCAACCCTCCCAGTTACCAGCAGCGCATGAACCTCCTTAACTAGAGGTTTCATACCAGACCATCACATTCAATAGGTATGGATCAATCTCTCAGCCTGTCCAAATCAAATGTGACCTGTGGTTTATATTTCTGGTGCCAACAACTGTATTAATATCAACATACTTCTAGTAGTTTAACTTCAGAAACACATGAAAGACATTTCAAAGTTGCTCAATTTAATGGCAAGGAAAAGAATTCTAATCTGCCTAATTTTCTTCACGTTAATTTATTTTGAATATTCAACAGCAGGCATATCTACGACCAGGAAGCAGGAATATCTGAAGAAGAGAGTCTATCCTCAAGCCCTGCTGTCAGCAGAAAAATGAATCCTCAAGTCTCTAAAAATATGAACTCGTACCTAACTTTGTTAGGTACAGTAAATTATTTCTATCATTTTTACAATTAAACAAAAAAACCCCATACCCCAGGTGAGTTGAAGCCAGAAAATCACCACCAGTGGAACTGGGAAGCCTTTGTTCCCATTCTTTCATGTCTTTGCAGTATCGAGCAGTCTTCACTTTTTGCTGGATATGTATTTCTGCACAGTGAATAAAGACTTCGTAATCAATTTAATGACACTCAGTAGCAAGCTTTTCCTTTTCCAACTGTTAAAAACACTTAATGATTCAGATTCAGTTTGTAAAAATTATGAGGTGCTCATTTAAAATCTTAATCCAAGAAATTGCTCAGGTACTGCAAAGACAACTAAAGGCAAGCCTACGCAGGCAGGGGCAGGCAGGGCCGAGTTCTTTTGCCTGTTGTATTCCCAGCTGGCCAGACACAAACCAGCTCCAGCCCAAAACACGCAACTGTTTTCATGTGATGTGTCCAAGTTAATAGGCTTTTATTTAGATACAACACTGCGATAATACTTCTATATAGCCTCGAGATCAGAGCAGGCTCCCATCAGACAGCTCAGAGGCCAGGCAGCTGAGCCCCTTCCTCCACCAGACACACTGGTTTGAAAAATGTTCCTCAGCTTATCGGGCTTGCCTTTCCTACAGCAAGTGACAATTCTCACATGAAATCCCTTTCATTCAAGACAGTAAATATGTACCTGAAGACACTAGACATTGACCCAAAGAAGTCCATATGCAATTATAAAGAAATCAGGGCTCAGTCCTGAAAACTCTTCCTCTGACACAAAGCTCCCCTTTAAGTCTGTGGGACAGCTCTCATGAGCAATGTCCAGGTTGACAAGATTCTTATAACCAGCCTCCTGTCGATATTTTAGTTTTTAAATTAAATTGCTTGTATTCTAGTGCTGAAGTATCATGGGATTCTGTATGCAAACAAATACCAACAAATATATCAACAAATCTTTAAACACTGCTTCCCCGAAGTATTTATGCAAGTCTACTGCCAGAGACGTTTCACATACCGAGCTGTGCACTGAGTTCACAACACATACAAATACAGTTACAAAAGCAAAGTCTAATATTACAAAGGCTCCAAAATGATGCGTTCCAATTTTGCTCACGAATAGTCACATACAGCACGCAGCAGCCTGTGTGCTTGCATCTTACCTACTCACTCAGCTGCCTGGTCAGAAAGCAAAAAGCAAAGTCAGAAGATAATTCTGATTATCAGATATCGGGAAATTCTACTCTCAGGACGTTACTTTACAGCAGCAGGAGCAGTCCACTTATAAATCACCCCATCTCATCCCATTCTGCCTTACCATACATGTATCTCAAAATATAGGACAATGATGCAGCGTGCTGTGTGTCCCAAGGACACACAGGTCACTCAAGGATTGTCTCCCCATGCATCTACTACTTTTTTTTTGGTTCCTTTTTGTTTCTGACTGGTGATATCAATAAGATACATAAATATGCTTATGTCACCATGTCAGGGTTAGATTAGTTAATTCGTTTTTACACAAGTCACACATTTGAATTGACAGGAAAGCATTTCAACATAAACAGTATTTGTTTTTAATGGCAGAAGTACACATTCAATGCAGAGTAATAGAAACTACATTTCAGTATTCAGAGCTCTCAAGTAAAAGTTTAACAGAATAGAAGCATGGAAATGTAATAGAGGAAACTTCCATTAAATGTACAAGTCCAATTTCCAATTAATGTAAACTGAAAGTGCCAAATAATAATCTAAACCAAAAACATCCCTCATCCTTCTCCCTCCCCGCCTCCAGTAGGTTTAGTTTAACAGTATCCAAGCCAACTTCTTTTAACTTCTGGTTGAGTAAACAGAAACGACTGACATTAAGATAATTCTAAACCAACAGAAAATAGGGCTAGAGATGAGATATAATGCAGTTTTGCCACTACTGACTAATGTCTCTATAAAGTACCTTGAGAGCCACATAAGTAACGAGAGCAGCTCTCAACACAGACATATACCCTACCCAAACATTCTGGTTTTATGAAATAACCTTTTGCTTACATGAAAGGCACATCCTACTAAAATAAAAACCAAAACCAAATAAATAGTGATATTTCTGGGAAGACAGACAGCTGTGAAGTTTTCTCAAGAAATCTCAGTTTACATGTATATATATAGAGAGAGGAATGAGTTTTATGTCCAGAACATCTTAGAATTTAAACAAATGAGAAGACTACTCTAGTACACTTACGGACGCTTGTAGTCTGGAAAGGATAGTATCAGTGCAGAGTTACATCTTCCCAGAGCACACATGGAACAAACTGAAGCAGTCTGGGACTTACACATGCTAAGCACAGACAGTAACAGTTCACGAAAAGAAAAAAGGAGGAAAAAAAAAAAATTGAGTTGTACCCTAACTAAAACAGTTTTGCTGGTACAAAAATTTCTGTGTAGGTTAAGGTCTATACAGAAAGATACAGCAGCATAAATGCAATGCCTCGTGGTTTTAGAACATCAAAGGAAACCTGAAGAAAAAAACAGAACTAAGATGGAAGTTTGTAGGAGACAGAAACAGGAAGAAAACAGGGGGAAACAAAAGCAAATGTAAAATATGAAGAGAAGTTTGTTGAAAGAAAAGATAAACAAGAACAAACATTAGTACCTTGAGGGGTGGGATGAAGGGGGCGGGGAGGGGGGAAGCAGTGACTTATTTCATATCAGACTAGGACTTAATATTCAACTGTATTTCCCGTAGCTACCGATCTACTTACATCCGAACTATCAATAGTTGTATCTGTAGCCATAATCAACCACAGGTTAAGATTCTTCCCTTAATTTTTCAATCACCTCAAAAAGGAGTTAAACAACATTTTAGAAGCAAAAGATTACTAGTTGTGGAACCCAAAAAAGATTTGCAGCTGTCAGTGAAGATAAAAACCAGATATGGACCTTTGCAAAACAGGAAAAAGTATTTTGCAAAAGGATATGGTCAAACACTAGAGGCAGGATTCTCTAGCAGCTGGAGGCTAGAACTCAGGTAATGAATGCTTAAATACATAAGAAGAAAAATATTTCCTCTTTTATAATTTGGGTGGAGAAGAGTGAAAAGGAGTAATATTCCCACTTCAGAGTTCTCTTAATTTTTTACGAAAGCCAGACCTTCCAACCTACAGCCACCACCAACCAGCTCATTTACTAGAAATCTCATCACTTTATGCTACCTCTTAAAATTGGGAAATTAATCCAATTCAGAAAAAAAAAAAATCACAGATCTAGATCAAACATTTTGAAGAATTCCAGAAAGGGTTGGGCTGAAGAGGGATTTGGGGAACTGAAGACAGTGACAGCAGCAGCAATGTGGAACTACCAAAAAGGTGTCTACCAATTCCTTACAAACAGTGTGAATATCTCATTTCTTGTTCCCCCCCCCCCATATTTTAGCTGCATGTTGTTTTTGCTGAATGCTATACAGTTAATACAGACTTTTCCACTGAAACATTATACCCATACTCACAGCAACAGATGAGCATTCCTGAACTACTTTGCTACCAGAAAGTATGCACTTTATTGGCCTTATCATTGATAAGACATTGCTCAGGCCCTTCTGTCTCTCTAAACATGAAAATATTAAGTGAAAACAAAACTGAAGCCCTGAGCAACACTAGAGGCATTATGCTACACATTCAGTTATCTGAGCTATCTTTAAGGTATATGTCAAAGCCTCTCCAGTTGCCAGAGACTGATGACCACAAAAGAGTCCTGGTTCTTCCCCTACCCCCAAGGTCCTTCCTACAACAATGCAACCAGCATTCTACCAGACCTCCTTGTTCTGCAGTGCTACAGCAAACGTGGCCCGTTCTCTCTACTCACCATGGAGGGTAGATGTGGATGACATCCTGTGGCCGGCTCTTCAGGTGAGCTGCTGTCTCTCTCGCAAAGAGGACTTTGAGTATTGGTTCTCCTGCATTGATGACAGCATCCTCGGATGAAAGCGTAGTAGGACGCTCTTTCAGCTGCTGGCAGATGGCAACTTGTATTGTACACTCCTCAAACATTTCTAAGATCTTCACAATTAAGACACCAGATTTATCTGGAAAGTAAATTAAAATAAAAAATAAAAAATGCTAAGTCTGCATGAGGAGAAAGAAATTCTGGCATTCTGAAGATGTGCATCCCTCTGCTCTGTGCAAATCTGTCTGGCTGTAAAAAATTCACATATAAGTAGAATACATTGCCTGAACATTGTTCAGGTTTTCTGGCCGTTTTTCTTTTCTTTATAGATACCATTACCTGTGGAGACAAAAGCCTACCTGCACTTCTTCCAAACACCAATGAAATCACAAACTCCTTACAAGAAGCCCTTTCACACAATGTTTGAACTTTTTAATCTTTCAACTCATTCACTTTGTTCAGTCTTTTTAATTAGATATTGCACAAAATAAATTTATTTAGCAACAGAATAATCACACTGTGTTAAAAGTGAAGCTGTGTTTGCTCTCCTTGACCTTTCTCAAAGCAACAGTTGTCAGGGACCAAGTCAGAAGAGTACCTGTTCGGTACAAAGAATCTAAAAGTTGATGAATCACATTTAGAGATTAATGTGGAGAAAGAGGGAGTAAGATAGATGCACTGCCCAAAAATAATTATTGCAATATCATCCATTTTATCAGCAGGCAATCAGGATACAGAAGGCTCTCTTGTTTTAAAGCAACAAGAACAGATACCAGCATCCCCCCGGTTTGATTTTAAGCACTTTTGTCTATGTTGAACAAGAAAAAACTTTGCATGGAAATGAAGTTAGTTCTAGCTCTCTTTGCAGTCTGCACAGGGCAACAGCTACTCAGACAGACCTGGGTCTGTTCTGTAAGACTATGTAAGATTTATTCTCTTTCTCAACTAGCCCCACTCAGATTTGCACGTTGGCCACTGAGGGGAGAATTGGTGTTATCTACCTGTTGAATGCTATGAGCAGTTAGTGGGGGAAAGACGGCACCAGAGCCCCAGTGCTGCCCATTTTGATTCACAAGTTGCATTGGGAAAAACATAGCATCCCGAGAAAAACAGCTGATAGAAATTATTGTCTTCCCACAGCAAAGAAGCAGGGGAGGAACTGCGAACGTGATACTGGGACTTAACAGCAGAGCTGTACTAGTTATTTGTTTGTTTATTTTAAGGCCCATTTCACAATTGTGAACGCCTTTCCTTTGGAAAATAAATCAAAATATTTTAGTTTCAGTTTATGAGAAAGTTAAAAAAAAAATTTAGCCCACCCCTCCAGAAACCCAAACCAAAGAAACCAGGCCCTAAAACCCTTCAGGTTTATTAAATAAAGTTAATTTTTACAAAAAAAAAAAAAAATTGTCCCTGTTTTGTATTCCCCAGTCTTTATTACATTTTATACTGAAACTGAAATAACGTAATTTTGAAATATAAAACTGAAATGTTCTCAAAACCACTTTTATGTGAACCAAATTTTCATCACATGCAACATGCTTCTGAAAGCGTTCTGTTTCCCATGAACGGGTATTTTCCAGCAGGATAAAGGGTTCCGCCAGAAAGAACATAAGCCATTTCTGTCCAAGCCATAACAGCTCGACCTCCTTTTCCAGATCTGAGAAGCAGGAATAAGAGAATCAATCCTTTCTGCCAAGTCCTTTGAGACTGGCTGATGAAGAGAGATGGTTGCCACCGCTATTACTCCTCACCACTGTCACCTTCTCAGGGAAAGCTGTAAGATTGCAGTGCCACTCCAATCACTCACTGCACTATGTTAAGGTCTGCTTATGTGCAAACTTCTGCTAAGCCTGAGCGCGGACTAGTTTTCTATGCCTAAAGGCAAGGACTTAGAATATTCACACTTGAATTCTGTTTTGCCTGACTAGCTACAGTTGTGGTCCTCTGTCAACCCCAAGTCATCTGGCACGCATAAACAAATTCTCCCAACCGCAAAAATTCTTGGCCTTCAAAGTAACTGAGCATTTACCTCTCCCCTCTAGACATACTGCACAATTTGCATTTTCATCCACTTAGAAAAACAAGTCACAAAAAAACCCCCAACTTAAATTTTGAAACAGACCAACAGTTTATTTAACAAAAAAAAAGTATTAAGACAGCTCATGAAAGACTGTTCATCAATTCCAAACTACACATTTATTACGTGCAGAATTTTATGACAGTTCTTACTGGTCAGCAGCGCGTATGTTACTCAGCTGATAAAGCAGGTTGAAGACAATGCATGACAACCTACAAACATTCTTCTTTTAAATACCTCTGACTATAAACCAGTTAAAAATACCAGGTAAGTCAAGAACTATATCTCTATGAAAACTTCTAAAAGACACTGGAGGAAAAAACAGTACCGAGGTGCCAGAGTATCTTGCAAGCCAGTATTAAAGTTGGTGCAAACACTGGGAGTTGATGCTAAATGAAGCTGAATGCTTCTATGTTAAAAGCAGTAAAATTTCAACAACTAGCCAAGTCTCACAGTTGGCACACACACACATTCTACAGAACCACAATCTACTTATTTATTTAGATGCACAAAGATAGTTTAATTTAATTACTCAGAAATTATTATTACTGCTGATGATAGAATGCTCTCTCAAACAACATGGCAAAGCACTTTGGATTCCTGGCACATGATGAAACACCAAAGTTCAAAATGTAGCTTCATTTTTAATTCATTTGGCTCTTGTATTGTTATGTCAATCAAAAATAAATCAAACATATGTGGCTGCACATTGAAGGGAGAATTTGTGGGTGAGGAGATGGGCTGGATCACTGCAATTTCTACAGTTTCCAGAGAAGTTTACTTGTTTGTTCATCCATGTGAAAAGCTTACTTTCAGGTTTTGCAATGTTCTCTTTCACCCTTGGATAATTCACAGAAGTTCTCGCTCGCTTGCTGAACTCCTCATTCACTTGCAAAGCAGAATTGCTGCCCAAAAAATTCAAACCTGCAGAAGTACAGGTTTCATGGCAATACCTAGTAATCTTAAACAAGGAAAGATACCTTACAATAACATGTATTTAAAAAGGTGCAAGCTGTAACTGTGCTGCAATCCTGCCCATTCCTACACTGCATATTCCTTCACTTCCTGTTCTGTTCTCTAGAGCACTCAGGAATTTCTTTCTTCAGGGTTAGTTTTTAACAAAATCAATGAGCTAATCCAGCTAACTGCAAAGCCACCAAAGCACAGGAACAGATACTAGGGAGAGGAAGGAACAAGTGACGGAAAAGGTGGAGGTGGGGCAAGAAGGGACCAAGGGAGGATGATTCTTTTCAGTGACAGCCCAACCAGGCTGGATTAAGCCACTTTCAAATGCTATCCAGTTGCTTCTTTTCCCCTACTGTGCCCAGGTTGGACTGTCTTTGAGAAGCTCCTTCAGCACGCAGGGACAGGCAAGATGACACACTGAACAGAGATACCAGCTGTTCCAGGTGCACGGTCCACACGCACATTTGCTACCATAAATGTCCATATGCTCTACAACGCTTGGACAGACTCTCTTTGACCTTTTTTGAGCCTCAGTGTTCACAACAGATAGGCATCACACTACAGTAATGAAAGCATGGGTGAGAGCATACCTAGTGTTGTCTTTCAACCACCAACTCTAGGCGTAACACTATATAGTGGAGGGACCCTGAGAAAGAGAGAAGGAATAAGAACTGCAGGTACCTATGGAATGCCCATGTAAAAAACCTTCTGTTTACTTACTTGAAGGTAACCATTCTTCTCCCATTGAAAGACAAGTCCACACGCACACTCACAGAGAGTAAGCATACAGCTGCCTGGATGTGTTTAAAAATCTTCCGCTCAAGCAGCAATTTGAGGACTGCTTCACAAAGCTCTTCTTTGGTGCCACATGCCTCTGCAACATTTCAGTGCTTGAGGGAGACAAAGATAGACACCCAGATAGCTGCCTGATCAGTGGCAGACATAGGTGCATTTCTCAGCAAAGCCCTGGACACTCTGAGCTCCTGGTGACAGAGGGCTGCTGCAGCTCGGTGGTCCTGGAACACAGCCAGCACGGACAGCTGCCCCTTCCAGCACCTCTCCATAGCCTTCATACAGAGTCAGCTGCAAAGTCAGAGAAAACATCCACTGACACAGGCTCAAGGATCATTTGAAAGATCTGGCACCATGAATATAAACAGAGACCTTATTCATCCCAGGGGCACGAAGTATAAATTAAATCCCTGATACATAAGGCTCAAGGTGCCACAAAGACAGATGGAAAGGCACTGATAAATCTGGTTGAGTGTGAATTTTGAAGAGGTATTTGGGACATACAATGTGCCTTCTCTAAAGAGCACCATTTAAAAGGAGGGGAAATAAGCCACCAGGGCCTGTAATGCTCCCTCACTTCTAACAGAATTCTCCACAAGAAGAAAAAACTTAAAGACATGCAGCAACATGCTGGCTACTAGGAGTGATTCAAAATGCGGGTCACAGAAAGGCCAGAGTACAAGAAAAATCAGGTACCAGTGATGAGCTGGCTTAGTTTCCAGCTGCAAAGGTCACATCAGCCCTTTGCAGAACACTGCTGTGCTAAGTGCCACCCACTGGAAGGCAACAGACAGAAATCATTGCTAGATGGACCGTCATCAAACAAATTAATTCTTCCAGACCTCACAAGTCGTCCAGAATGAGTGAAACCAGGAGGAGTGACTGACTGGTGGGAGGAACAAGCCATTTAAGCAGGGAAGTATCTCTGGTGAAGCCTCTCTATGATTGACAAGAACTTCCCTCACCTCCTAGCCAAGAAACAAGAAACTCTGACAAAAGCCATCCAGCATCCCTGCTGTGAGGGGGTTGGACAGGCAGATTCAGCACCACCCCACCAGCACACACAGGAGCCACATCTTCAGGCTCCTCAGAGACAGATGAAGAAATCCTGATCCAAACCTAGGCATATGAGACATCAACCTCTCACTGCTACAGTTAGCAGAACCTTTGAAATCACAGGGAAAGGTCATTTTGGCAACAGTAGTAATGGAACAAACCTGGCAAAGACCTTGGGCATAATTTCCAAAAAAGCCTGATGCTTCACAATTGTGTGATCAAAACAGGTCTATATTGTATGCATG